ACTTACGTACAGGTGCATATCTATCTATATATATATATATATATATATATATATATATATATATATATATATATATATATATATATATATATATATATATATATACTGTTGTCCTTTTGATTATATAATGACAAGCTGAGAATAGGCCTTATGTGGAGACAATGGGGAAAGCGGCGGCACCTCAAAAATACCCTTCGCATCTCCACTGTCCCAAATCGCCGACCAACTTGTCGGCGTTAATGGATCCGCCGCCGTAGGGACTCTTTCTTCTTCTATTTTCATTTCCTTGTTGATAACTAGTTGCTCCTCATTGTCTGTTCCTCTCACCCTTTTCCTGCTTGAGTTCACCAATGGCTGAATCTCATTGTTGATAACTAGTTGCTTAAAGTTTGCAACTTCGAGAGGGAAGTTCACTATTGCTTTGCTGCCTCTAAGCTTAAACGCCGCCCTATAATATGCCTTAGCTGCCTCTATGGCAGTGTCAAAGGTTCCTAACCAAACCCGAGTCCCCTTTCGGTTCGGGTCACGAATTTCTGCTGCGAACTTTCCCCATGGCCTTTGTCTAACTCCTCTGTAATGCTTCTTCTCGCTTGGAACTAGTTCCACTTTCTGAACAACCGCCCGCTGCTTCACTGGTATTGCTATGTTCAGAGAAGGCCTTCGTTCTTTGAAGTTTGTTTGCTTCGGATAATTTGAACTAATACAAGCGGGTGGTTTTGTCTCAAACTCAAAGCAGTCCAACTCTGTTTCTGAATTGTCAAAGAAGCTTGAGGAACTTTGTGCTGTGTTGGCATAGTTGAGACTTGGTTCAGAAGAGGAGGAGCTTTGGGAATAAAGGGTGCTAGTTTCGGAGCAGTAATATTCCATAATCATATCAAACGTAGTGCAATTCTCTTGTGGTGATGCCATTTTTGATATTCCAATGAGACGAGGGAAACAGACTTGAAGAATCTAATTGAGATGAGTGGAAAAAAGAGTGTGCGGAGGATTGTTATAAAGGTCGGAAATTTGAGACTCCATTGAGATGAGAAGAGGTTTCATAGGAGCCTTCTGGGATGGAGAAAAGAAGCATCCTGTGGCCTAATCCATAAGCTTAGTGCTACTTGTATTGTATATGTTTATGCGACGTAATTTGTCACGGTATGAAATTTTTAAAAACAACTATTCAAAATTTGTTTCTGGTAAAAATTTATGGGCTTATAATATTTATAGGGATTTTTTCCTTCCTATATCATATATGAAACTTTATTACTAAATATGTGTATAGTTTCTAATTTACCCGCCATGTTCACACTTTTTCTACAATTATTATACCATTCATTAAATACTAATTATTAGTAGCTGAATCTTCCTAATTAGGCGCGCTACAAATCAGGAACAGAATATTCTAATTGATTTAGCGACCTTCAGATCAAATTTGAAACGGAAATCCTTTATCTTCAATTTAAAATCAAATTACATAGACTCTTTTCTGCAAAAACTCTGTTCTTCGATATTTTTCCTTAAGCCACAAATCAAAAAAAGACAAAATCGTCAACAAATTCGAATCAAATTGTAGAAATCAGTTCTGCAAAAGCTCAGTTCGTCGACTTTTTTCCTCAATCCACTGATCAAAAAAGCGACAAAATATTCAACAAATTCAAGTCAAATTGTAGAAATCAATTCTGCCGATACTCTGTTCTTCGTCTTTTTTTCTTAATCCAAAAAATCAAAAAGGCGACAAAATATTGAACAATACCTCAGCAACGACAAATTGTAGATGAAGAGAAAATTTTATAGTCGATATTTTTTTCCACTTAGATTGTAGTTTAATTGTAGTATAAATGTAGTAATTATGTAGATACCCTTACAAATAATACTGCTTTATACATACTTAAACTGATTTGTAGTATATTTGTAGAATTTTTGTAGAAAATTTGTAGATGAAGAGAAAAATTTTGTAGTCAACATTTTTTCAACATAGATTGTAGTTTAATTGTAGTATAAATGTAGTAATTATGTAGATACCCTTACAAATAATATTGCTTTATACATACTTAAACTGATTTGTAGTATATTTGTAGAATTTTTGTAAAAAATTTGTAGATGAAGAGAAAAATTTTGTAGTCAACATTTTTTCATCATAGATTGTAGTTTAATTGTAGTATAAATGTAGTAATTTTATAGATAATCATAAAAACAATATTGCTTCATACATTCTAAAACTGATGTGTAGTTTATTTGTAGATAAATGTAGGAATTTTATAGATATTACTGTAAAATCAGACTTCCATAGAATTTGAAATACTAGGATTAGGGACCTCTTCTACAAAGTCGTCGTCTACCAAAATCTCTTTTCCATTTCGTTTGACTGTTTGCCTGGTGTAGAAGTTTCTCCAGCATCTACATCATGTTTTTGTTTGGTTCTCATCTGATAACTGTGATTTTAACACGTTTTATGCCTGTACTTGCCTATGCTTTATGTATGAATTGTCATAAAATAGACCCAGAATGCTTACAAAGTGCGCTTGATTGCAGGTTTGAGCGACAAGATGACAAAGGTCAAAACTCAGCTCGAAACGGAGTGAAACCTGCTCAAGTGTCAAAATTCATTGAAGTAGGGACAAAAGGACCTAGCGCGGACCGCACTGATTTGTTGCGGCCGCGCTAGGAGACTCAGAGAGCATCCATTTCAGGGGTTTTCATGCGCGGTCAGCTCTCTTTTCTACGCGGTCAGCGCTGGAGTCCACGCGGTCGCGCTGCATTGTTGTGCGGTCCGCGCCCATTAGCCTGCGCGGCCGCGCAGACTCTTTGTGCGGTCTGCGTCCCCAGCTTCAGAAGTGAATGATCGAAGGCCAAGACCCCTACGCGGCCGCGCTGCATTTCTGCGCGGTCCGCGCCAGCC